GCGAATCATTCCTCTGCTTTTTTGCGCAAGTAAGCTTTGCTTTATTTTCCTTTGGTTAAACGCTAAATTTGATCCTCAAGAAACTTTTGATTTGATCTTTAAATTTGAAAATTTTTTGTTTTAATCCATTTAAATTAAAATTTTAGCTCTTTTTTTCGTCCTTCGTTAATTTCTCACTTATACGAGACATTAGTTAACGGTAGAATCATTAACAACAATGACATGGAAATGAGGTGGACAAACAAGGGGATTTTTTTTTTTTTCTTTTGGGATATGCTACCACCACAATCAAGGGGATAAAAATTCATGATGTGGACAAAATCATTTTCCTTTCTATATTAAAATAAAAGCTAATTATATGAAATTATATTAATGCTCTCGTATCTTCTTCTTCCTTCCTCATTGTCTTTCACCAATGAAAAGGCACGCAATGTTCAAACTTAAGAACCAGGACAATGTTGAAGAATTTTCAAAATAATTCCAAAATTTGGATTTGAATCACAAAAGGTTAGTTCAAAACAACTGTATATAATGTATTTGAGAAAATATAACTTTAGTTCAAATCATATAATTATGATTTGAATTGTTTATGTGAAATTAAAATTTGAAAAGTATGATTTGGTTCGAACCATTTACGTTAGAAATTAAAGACAAAATTCTAATAAGTTTCTCAAGAAAGAGTGGGTAACTTTGGAAGGCAAGAAAACACGTAAGTTTGAATTCAAATCAAACTAAATAATTTTTGAAAGAGTTTCAAACGGATAAAATTGAAAAGGAGCATTTGTTTCCAAAAGACATCTTGCCTCTATAAATGTGAAGTTATCTTCTTCTTCCGAGTCTCTTGAACGCAAAAATAAATCCATACTATTATCTAAATAAAACAACCCTTTTTTGTTCTGTGATTACTGCAGAAATTCTTGTACAAAAACTATTGTTTTGTCGCTTTCCAAAAGACAGTTCAATGGTTGATTTTGCTAGTGCAAAGGCTAGATCAACAAAGCACTTCATTGTATCCTATGGGCATTTCGGATTACCCCTTTTGCATACCAAATCTAGTGGGTGCAAAATTAGCCTAAAGAAAAGTGGCATTTGCAGCAAGCCTTGAAGCCAACGATCAATTTTCTAACCCCCTATTTCTCCAACAATCTTTAGGCTAATTTGTAAGTTTTTTGAGATCATGGCTTATTGGATAATTGACAAGAAACTTGCACTACAAAACGCAAGTGAAGCCAAGGAGATATGGTGTGCAACAATGGCAAAACAAAATGGATTTCTGGCGCTTTAAATCATGTGCAAAAATGGTGACTCATCGACCATCAGAATGGTGTGATCAATCATAGATGAGGCAATGGTGGGTTAATAAATCACCAGACGCAAAAACATTATAGAGGATAAATGATGCTGCCTAGTTTTCACGGCCAAAATGTTGGTGATGGAAAGGTTGCTAGACGTTTCATGATAAAGCAAAGAAAGTCAATTTCCATGAAAATGAATCGACTAAAATAAGATACACATGGTTAATTGTGTGGAAATTGCATATTTTGCAAGTGAATATTAATTCTTTGGTAAAAGATTGATCTAATCTTGTGCATATATCTTACTTTTGGGAATTATATTTTAGATTTTCTATCTCATGGAATATTTTTCAATGACTTATCACTTTTTCACTGACTTTTGGATATTTGAGTGCCTCATTTTGTTAATACCAACTTTTGGATTGAGGCTAAGACTGTTTAATTTAGTGTCAATTCACCATGAATTTTCTGTAAGACATGTACTAGTATGCTGATGATTTTATTTAGTGATGTCTTATTCATGTTTATTAAAGGCTTGATGCTTTAGGGTAGTAAATGATATTTATACTACATGGATTAAGTGTTAAAGACATGAATTGAAAGGAAGCATGTTTATGCACATAATAGTTTAATTAAAATCATTTGTGCTCTATACATATGATACATATACATGCTTCTTGTTTGTTATTTTGTTTATCTTGAGATGAGGCTTGTGGAAATATAAGAAGCTAATGAATCTAATCATGTTTCATAAATGAACAGTTGCTTAAAGCATATTTCTACTTGTTACTTTTGATATCTCTTATTTATGCCTTATTTATGCTTGTAAGATTATATATCAATTGAAATAAGTGAGAATCAAGTCTCATGATTGCTACTTTACCATGATAAAGAAAGAAATACTGAAATGGGATTTTGCAAACCCATTTGGAGATCCAACTGATGGTCTTAGTTTTAATATAAACTACGAGGAGAGAGGCCAAGTGAAAAGGCTCTCAGTTTTGATAAGTCTTGAAGGATTTTGAATTCTTGTTTAGATGTTATCTCTTAATGAGATAATTTTGTAGAAACTAGTGCAACCTTGTGCACTTGATTTATTTTTTGGAAGCTTGGAAAAATGGTCCAAAAGATAAAGAATATATTGATGTAGAGAAAA